TTCGCCGACTATCAAAACAGCATCTATCAGCGCGTTGCTTGCATATCGCGCTTACGTAAGAGCTTCTCGTAATGAAGCGCACAGAGGTGTTAATTATATCGATATTAATCCGTGGTCCGCGCAATTGAGACACACATCGAGAACTGAAAATGTTTAACTCTTTTTTAATTCTGGTAGCTCGCAAAGACTTCCTACGACGATGGAAGGCTACCATCCGTGCCGTGCCGATGGAAGTCTTTCCTTCTGTACACAAGAATGGATCTTACACAATAAATCGATAAAACGACGCGACCGATGCTTTACGGTCGAATAAATTTTATTCTCAGCCGAGAGTGAAATCATTTATTCCCGAAGCCGGTTCTCTCCTCGCGGACGGCAAGAACGGCCGAAACACTTTCCGACCGACTCGATCGAACGAATTCTGAGCGTTGCCCAATGACAATTCCTAATCAAAGTTGAAGTTGACGGGTTGAATTTCGATCGGCTCGTCGATCGAAATTCAACGACACGCTTCGAATGCGCCGGAATTGGAATCGCAGCGATTAGTCGATAACGGCAATTATTTATTATACGTATCGTTTTGTTGCGCAACCGCAACTGCTTTGCGATAAGCCAAGTCCGATTATTTCGATTCCGTGATCATTGGAGCGTACGTTAAACTCCGCAAATGCAAATGTTACAAGCTAATTTCCAAATACTTATCGTAACCGTAAGCTATTTGTATTCCATGCGTCTATTCATTAAATTTTATTTTACCTCGAGAAAAAGATTAGACACGTTTCCTTTACATGTAAATTAATAACACTTATAACCGCTTATGGCGGCTAACGTAAAGGTAACGAAACGCTACCCTTGCAGAAAGCACATAAATGGATTATGGAAGAATTTCTAAATTCTAATAAGAGAAATCGCGTTCTAGTGTCAGAACGGAAGCTTGGAAACGTGGAAACGTGATAGAATGAGGTGAGATATAACAAAAATCATAACGCTTTATAAAGATTTAATTCACCTAAAAATTAAGGCAAAATGAAAAATTGCCTTGCTTATATCAAGAAATATACGTTCTATCAAAATCTTCTATTCAATAATTTCTTTTTCTGCTTCAATATAACTTTATTTGAAATTATGGCAACTGTTTATTTATTTCTGGTACTAACATTGTAAATTTTGCTTTACAATCTATCTTTTCGAGATTTCTATCATTTTTGCACGTTTAGATGCACGTTTCTATATTCAAATACAAAATGACTCTGTAAATATATATTTGCAAAGAAACCGTCACGATCAATTCGAATGTGGTTACCTCATTCTGAGTTGCGCAGGATTTCGTTTTGCTCGTGGCGCTTGAAAATTCTCGATGCGGCCCTGGCGTCCGTCCAAGCAAGTTCAACGTTTTATACTCCGCAGTTAGATAGTAATCTACATAATTTACGAAAGATACTTTATTTACGCGTACGCGCGACCAACAGCTCCTGTTGTGATCATTAACATTTGTTCTGCATATGTTTACCTTGCACACTTTCTACCTGCGAGGCAAGCGGTGCAATGTAACTAATGCAATAAACGCCCTTCCTCGGCTACGGACGGGTAAAATACCGAGAAGCATTATGCTCGTGATCCATTGACTCGGGCGGACGGGTTGTATTCATTTTAAGTAGATCTGCTCTCGAGTAGATCCAATCGTACTGGGATTCGCGAGGAGTGTCTGACCTAATCTGCCTTTGTTCACCACTCTGGGAAAACGAGCAAAACGAGCTGTGTTACAAAAGGAGTCTAGTTTGAAACCCCTTCCCCGCCCCTGTTGCCTCAATATTTCACAAAACACATCAGTCATTTACCTACCTGGTCAAAAAAATTTTCGTGCAAAAAAGGTTGCAAAGGTATTTTTATCCTCT